TCAGCCGGGACTTGTGCCAGGTAAACTTGTGCCAGGTAAACTGGTGCCTGGTGCCAGGTGCCGTGGGTGCCCGAGGTGGCAAGCGTGGTTTGGCTACCTGTGTGCCTGGCTGGCTGGCAGCACGGGGTCCGGTGTGGTGTGGCAGCGCTTCTCGAGGCCGTGCAAAGACCTTGAAATGTTGAAGGAGATCGCTGCTGGGCAATGAACAATGTCCACGTGTTTCGTTTACAGTTAATTCTGGGTTTGACTCGCTATGGCGCTTTGGAATATCGGAAACAAAGAAGGGGAAGGGGCATTTCTATGCAAATAACTCTCTTAATTTGAAATCCAACTTTATTTTTGCTTCTAAATTGTAACGTTACTTACATTTCAGGAATAAATATTGTCAAGCTTTTTGTTGTTGAACCTGGGCCTACGAGCGTTTACATTGGGAGGTTCTCAAGGTTTGCCGAATGTAAATCTACAATCGGATTTTTGAAAACTCAATATTTTGTGCGAACATAAAACGACAGCGATAACGCGCATTGGAAGTGCAGTCCGTTTATAAAAGGGTTGTGACGCCAACGCTATGACTGTGCAGTTGTAACTGGGTTCCAAATTGATGTCGGTAATAACAATGACAACTTGTACAGCGCCGAAACGAGGCAAGCCATTACAGGGGCGCATTGATCCTGTGACACGAGATAACGCGGGTAGGTTTTGTCGAGCCCACACTGCCTCATTTCGCGTGGCGCACGCCCGTACTAATCCAGCACGGTGGACGCAGCGAGGGTTGGTGAATCACACAAATGCTGCGCAACTCTCTGGGTGCCGTCGAGATGGCACATCCGAGGATAGAGTGTTGCCCCCTCGCACAAGTGGGTTTTCTCTGGGTGCTCCAGTTACCTCCCACATGCAAGCACTCATTAATTGATCTTGATTCGAAGCTTTCGTGACTGCAGGAATCCATACTCTTTGGTTCTTTCGGTAAAGTCACGTAGTTTATTTTATTTCTAACTACGTGACTTTACCGAGAGAACCAAAGAGTATACTCATTAATTGGCCTGAAAACACTTTACTATATAATGGGGACTGCAGAGCTTGGAGGGGGGGGGTTGGCGTTAGGTCGCCACCGAGCTGCTGCCTTCCCGCACCTCCAATTAGCACGTTTGGCTACGTACGGTGCGAAAGAAGTTCAATATACGCACATTGTCCGTGGTTCCTCATGCCTCAGAGTCGTTCTCTCTCTCTCTCTCTCTTCCAGGGCGAATTAATTTTGTGCGGTGCGCTTCCAATCTTTTTCTAATTTTAATTTAAACGCACCCCGTCTCATGTGGTCTCAAAAGCTCAACAGAGACGCATATATGCATGTTGAACTTCTTTCGTACGTAGCCAACCGTGCTAATTGGAGGTGCGGGGGAAGGACAACAAACTAAACACAAAAATCACTTTGAAGACCCTGGTTTGTATTTGAATGCGAGACTCCCTGGGAATGCCAGGTGCTACAGGTTTGGGCTATGCTGTGCAGCAGTGGTCAGTCGATGGCGGCAATACAACGACGGTTTCCATTCGGAGAGTAATTCATGAGTTTGCGTTGCATCAATCTCCGTGGAGCTCAGGGTGCCAAGCCGTCTCATAGGTGTGCGGTTCTCTCCGGGCACTCAGATGTCCTCCCACATGCCCCCCTGACTCAATGGAATTGGCGAAACATTCCAATGCAGGACCTGCCTGCATGCAAAAATAGCACCAACTTAGTGAAGCTTTCCTGGATACACTGTACTGTATAAAGGAATTCTTAGTTTTTTTTATGTAAACCATAGTCTTCAGCCAGGGGGCCAGTAATATTCTGTTAACGTTCAAAAACATTGTGTTTTCTTCATAGTTTGCAAACTTTTTGTGGAAGATCGATTAACACCACTTAATCCTGAATATCATAAATCACCTTCGCCCATGGTAAATCCACTGCTGGATGATAGCCTTCCCAAGCCATTGCCATCACTCGTGATCATGCGATGTAACAATCTACCTAGCACCTGCATGTAGACCACATTACATCAATAATTTCTCCCCAAAATCTACAACTTTTAGCCTTCAGCACAACATGCTTACGTTGTACAAGATGTCACGGTATGTTTTGCATTCAAAGAAGATCAACTCAAAACACAAATAACGTTTAACTTGTGGCTATACCCCACAGCTTGCGTGTTCGAGGCCGATCATAGTTCGCCATGCTGGTCAGTGTGGCCTGCTAAAGGTGAGCGGGTCAGGACCGGTTCAGATATCTGTCACTCGTCCACTGCTATAAGCTGTGGCCGAGGACTTGAATTGACCAGGTTCGTTCAGAGGGCAGAATGCGACACCGCAGCGCCTCCACTCCCCTCCTTTACGGGGACTCTGATACTCACGAACCAGTTAGGTTCCAGAGGATCTGTTCGTAAGTCGATTTGTTCGTAAGTCCCAACTTCCCTCCCGTCGAGTCGAAATGTCTTGTACGGCGTGTACACTAAACACGGGGAATGGCTTTCAAAGTTGTATAATCTCCGGTAGATGTAGATGTCACTGGGTTTTCACGTTCTGCAGATGTAGATGCCACCACCGGCATCTGTTGCGCGGCGGTTGAACTTACGACTCTCGGTTTCGAACAAGCAACTGGACATACGGACAGGTTTGTTCGTATCTCTGCATTATCGTAAGTCGAGTGTTTGTAAGTAGAGACGTTGCTGTATTTCGATGTGCGTGTGTTTCTGTCACTGTTACGACTAACACGCCATCCAGTACCTCGAGAGCTTACGTGCACCTATGCCTAAATTTTTTTCAATTTTTTACATTTGCATTTTATGTACAGTATACGTATGTGGAACTTCTTTCGCACCGTACGTAGCCAACGGCCGTTAAATAGCCCCGCAGCTTTCCTTAAGGAGAACCCTGTGTACTCGTTCTCTATAAACAAAAAAATAATCCGTGCAACGGAATCAAAATAAACGTACAATGCAAAGCGATCTATTTACACCAGAAAAGCCTCGCCAAGTCTCAAAACTCGGGGTTTGTTGTTGTTGTTTTTTTGTGCGTTCCGTTCATTGTCCTTCCCCCGCACCCCCACCCCACGGTTGGCCACGTACGGTGCGAAAGAAGTTCGACGTTCCATACGAGACTCCTTCGCAAGGAGGGTCCCAACAATGCAATGTCTGGCTGTCGCCTGATGAAGCTAGTTGTAATTACTGGCGAAATGTCGTACTCAGATTGTAAATGTTGTGGCTTGGTTCTCCAACACAACCGGTGTAGTGCTGTACGAGTGACGAATTGGCCACGTTCTGTTTTCGTGACAACCCTTACTAGTTGGCTGTGTCGGGTGGTGTCGGGTGGTGGCGGGTTTAACGACACATTTAGAAATTTACGCGATCTAACCTAAAAAAAACTCTATTATGAATACAACGTTTATGCGATTCGGTCAACATCATCAGAATGACGGCTTATAGCTCGGAAGAAGTGACACACACGTGTTACTGTAAAGGCACACATGCACAGAGCGCATGGCATGTCTCTGCACATGCAAACACAACACGTGTTTTAGTTCATCGGCCCCTTGACCCTCGGGACCAATGCCATGTATGCACGTTGAACTTCTTTCGCGCCGTACGTAGCCAACCTTGCTCATCTCAGGTGTCATCCAGTAGCATTTGCTTTAAGTAATCAAAACTCCGGACCGGTGTGCGACCGTCTGGGTCTGGTTATCAGCAGAGTCAGGCTTTGTTGTAGTAAATGCTGCCGGGCTACCAGATGTTATTGACCAGAGCACTGCATCTGAACAATTGGGATCCTGTTCAACGCAAGATACACCATCATCTAAGTGTGTGTGGTGTCTATGTGTGGTGTGTGTGTGTGGTGTGTGTATGCTGTGTGTGGTGTGTGTGCTGTGTGTGTGGTATGTGTGTGGTGTGTATGTGTGTGGTGTGCCGTGTGGTGTGTGTGTGTGTGGTGTGGTATGTGTGTTTGTGGTGTGCTGTGTGTGTGCGGTGTGTGTGGTATGTGTGTGTGGTATGTGTGTGTGGTGTGTGTGTGTGTGTTGTGTGTGTGCTGTGTGTGTGCGGTGTGTGTGGTATGTGTGTGTGTGTTGTGTGTGTGTGGTGTGTTTTGTGTTGGTGTGCGTGCTGTGTGTGTGTGGTGTGTGTGTGGTGTGTGTGTGCTGTGTGTGTGGTGTGTGCTGTATGTGGTGTGTGTGCTGTATGTGGTGTGTGTGCTGTGTGGTATGTGTATGTGTTGTATGTATGTGTGTTGTGGTGTATGTGTGCGTGGTGTATGTGTGTGTGCTGTATGTGTGTGTGGTGTGTGGTGTGCTGTGTGTGTGGTGTGTGTGTGTGGTGTGTGTGTGTGGTGTGCTGTGTATGTGTGTGGTGTGTGTGGTGTATGTGTGTGTGTTGTGTGTGTGGTGTGTGTGTATGTGAGTGTGATATGTGTGTGTGGTATGTGTGTGTATGTGTGTGTGTATGTGTGTGTGGTATGTGTGTGCTGTGTGTGTGTGTGGTGTATGTGTGTAGTGTGTGTTAGTGTGTTATGTGTGTGTGGTATGTGTGTGTGTGCTGTGTGTGTGGTGTGTGTGTGTGCTGTGGTGTGTGTGTGGTGTATGTGTGTGTGGTGTGTGTGTGCGTGCTGTGTATGTGTGTGTGGTGTGTGTGTGGTGTATGTGTGTGTGGTGTGTGTGGTGTGCGTGTGTGGTATGTGTGTGTGGTATGTGTGTGTGTGTGCTGTGTTTGTGCTGTGTGTGTGGTATGTGTGCATTTGTGTGTGGTGTGCTGTGTGTGTGCTGTGTGGTGTATGTGTGGTGTATGTGTGTGTGTGGTGTGTGCTGTGTGTGTGGGGTGTGTGTTGGGTGTGTGTGGCGTGTGTGTGTGCTGTGTGTGTGTAGTGTGTGTGTGTGGTATGTGTGTGGGTGTGTGTGTTGTGGGTGTGGTGTGTGCTGTGTGTTCTGTGTGTGTGCTGTATGTGCGTGTGGTGTGTGTGTGGTGTGTGTGTGGCGGACACACCTACCGGTCAGTGAACAGACTCCATCTATCCGGACCAGCGGAGCAGCATCCAAAGAATCACCTCCAGGGCTTCGGTGCGCCTTGCGTACAGACGGGGCTGATGATGATGACGATGCTGCTGCTGATGCTGCTGCTGCTGATGATGATGACGAAGATTATGAAGCCCTCTCCTGTCCTCCCGTCCTCACGGGCAAGATCGAAGGAGGCTGTCCACTCAGCTCCTCGGCACCCCCACACTCGATGGAGCAATCCTCGGCGTGACCACCACCCCCCACGAACCTCTCGCTCGCTCCCAGCCACAATCAGCAGCCCTCTCCTCTGCTCGCCCGGCAGGCGAAACGAAAGCAAAAATGAAGACGTGCGTTCGAATGTCTGTGTGTGTGTGCGTGTTCGTATAGTGTGTGGTGGTTGTGTGTACGTGTGTGTACGTGTGGTGGTGGTGTGTGGTGGTGTGTGTATGTGTGTGGTGGTCTGTGTGTGGTGGTGTGTGTGGTGGTGGTGTGTGTGTGGTGGTGTGTATGTGGTGGTGTGTGTGGTGGTGTGTGTACGTGTGTACGTGTGGTGGTGGTGTGTGTGGTGGTGGTGGTGTGTGTGTGTCTGTGGACGTGTGGTGTGTGTGTGTCTGTGTACGTATGGTGGTGTGTGTCTGTGTACGTGTGGTGGTGGTGTGTGTGTCTGTGTACGTGTGGTGGTGTGTGTGGTGTGTGTGTGTCTATGTACGTGTGGTGGTGGTGTGTGTGGTGGTGTGTGTGTGTGGCGGTGTGTGTCCGTGGACGTGTGGTGGTGGTGGTGTGTGTGTCTGTGTACGTGTGGTGGTGTGCGTGTGGTGGTGGTGTGTGTGTGGTGGTGGTGTGTGTCTGTGTGTACGTGTGTGTCTGTGTACGTGTGGTGGTGGTGGTGTGTGTGTGTGTCTGTGTACGTGTGTGGTGGTGGTGTGTGTGTCTGTGTACGTGTGGTGGTGTGCGTGTGGTGGTGGTGGTGTGTGTGTGTCCGTGGACGTGTGGTGGTGGTGGTGTGTGTGTCTGTGTACGTGTGGTGGTGTGCGTGTGGTGGTGGTGTGTGTGTGGTGGTGGTGTGTGTCTGTGTGTACGTGTGTGTCTGTGTACGTGTGGTGGTGGTGGTGTGTGTGTGTCTGTGTACGTGTGTGGTGGTGGTGTGTGTGTCTGTGTACGTGTGGTGGTGTGCGTGTGGTGGTGGTGGTGTGTGTGTGTCCGTGGACGTGTGGTGGTGGTGGTGTGTGTGTCTGTGTACGTGTGGTGGTGTGCGTGTGGTGGTGGTGTGTGTGTGGTGGTGGTGTGTGTCTGTGTGTACGTGTGTGTCTGTGTACGTGTGGTGGTGGTGGTGTGTGTGTGTCTGTGTACGTGTGTGGTGGTGGTGTGTCTGTGTACGTGTGTGGTGGTGGTGTGTGTACGTGTGTGTCTGTGTACGTGTGGTGGTGGTGTGTCTGTGTACGTGTGTGGTGGTGGTGTGTGTACGTGTGTGTCTATGTACGTGTGGTGGTGGTGGTGTGTGGTGTGTCTGTGTGATGGTGGTGGTGGTGTGTACGTGTGTGTGTGTCTGTGTACGTGTCCTGCACAGCAGCAGCAGCAACAGCCGACACAGAGACGCAGCTCTCCGTCTCAGCCAGGCATTGTCAGGAGCCCCCCTTTCTTTCCTCCCCTTTCTTTCTTATCCGAGGACGAGCCGCCAATGTTGCTTGGTTATCTCCCGATGATGATCGATCACTGTTCTGCTGATTATGATGGTGGTGGTGGCGATGCTGATGATGCTGATGATGATATCCGTTCGCTCCGACTTGCGCGAACGGACCTCGGGAGCTGGCGGATAAACGCGGGTCGGAGTGGAAGATTCGCGGAGCGTGGAGCCCAAGACCTCTTGGGACAATTCTCAATTCGTGCGCCTTTTGGCATCATCTGGTCCAACACCATGTGAGACTAGGCTCTAAGGAAAGCTGTCTCGGTGTGGATCAATCAATTTCAAGGACAGTGCATATCATTATCAGAGTTATGTTTTTTGTTTGCATTCTGACCGCAGGTATTGTGGTCAATGTAAACATGACTCCTTGTAAACAAAAAAGGTGTCGGATTTGTTGCCAGATGAAAGGGTAGAAAAAAACAATTATCACAATTCTCTCTCTTGGTTTGAAGCTTTCGTGACTGCAGGACTTACCTTGCGGTGCTTTCGGTGAAGTCACGTAGAAAGAAAATGAATTAAATAATAGCGTACGACGTTTCGATTGCAACACAAGCAACCGTCATCAGGTCGAACTAAATTTGAGAGAGAGACAAAACACAGGCACGGAGACACACACACAGACACACAAGCAGAGAAAGACAACACAGACACAGAGAGAGACACACACAGAGACACAGAGAGAGAAACACACAAGCAGAGAGAGACACAACAGAGACACACAGACACAAGCAGAGAGAGACAACACAGAGACACAGAGAGAGAGACACACACAGAGACACACAGACAGAGACACACAACAGAGACACACAGACAGACACACAACAGAGACACACAGACAGACACAAGCAGAGAGACACACACAGAGACACAGAGAGAGACACAACATAGACACACAGACACACAAAGAGAGACAACATAGACACACAGAGAGACACGCAAGCAGAGAGAGACACACACAGAGATACACAGAGAGAGACACACACAGAGACACAGACACACAAGCGGAGAAAGACAACACAGAGACACACAGAGAGAGACACACACAGAGACACAGAGAGAGACACACAACAGTTTAACTCACATGAATAGTGAGTCAGGCTTTCGCGACCAATATCATCCATAATACAGGTTGTTGTTGTTGGGTTAGATCGCGTAAATATATAAATATATACAACACCGTGGTGTTGGAGAGCAAACCCACAACATTTATAATCAGATTGTAAATGTTGTGGATCAGATTGTAAATGTTATGGATGTTGCTGTACGTGTAACGAATTGGCACGTTTTGTTTACGTGACAAACCTTACTCAATGGCTGTGTCGGGTGGTGGCGGGTTTAACGACACATTTATATTGACGTGATCTAATCCCCCCCCAAATTCCCTTTGTATTATGAATTATCTCTGTGCTCGCAATGTGGTTTCCACTCACTCCAGGGGACACGGGGCCAGACGGGATATTAATGTGTTTTATTTGGGGGGTTTTAATGTTGGAAAATCACCGTGTCACGGTGTAAACCGGCAACACGATCAGATCACTCCGTTATGTCTCCAGTCCATCAGTCACCTGCTGTTCTGGACCACTGTTATCAGACGGCATTTGTATTGTTTTTAAGCAAGCAAACCTGGGACTCGTTTCGACCTCACTGAGTCTCATCAACAGTCAGATTTCATTGTTGAGAGTCCAAAGACTTTTTTTTTTGTTCAGGTAGGGCCCTGCCAAGTTTTTGAACGGTCACTGCAGAAGGTTAATTGCCCGAAACGTCGACAATTATATATTTTCCTTTTAAGGCCGCAGTGTTAAGCTGTTGTTGTTGTTATTCAGCCCAGGACCAGCCCTGGTTTGAAATGAAGCCGTGGCGCGAATGATTAATTGAGCGGCCTGAGGTCAAACGGTGGTGGCTTGGCCAAAAAATTCCTCCTCGCAGATTGTGTGGACATCCAACAACAACAAATGGCACGAGTTGTGTGCGTAGTTGTGATATTCTTTTAGTTAGAAGAACACAAAAAGTCGAAGCGAATATGCGTGGGGGTCTTTTAGTTTTTGTTGTTGTTCGAAAACATATATAATGGCCAACACTCCCCCACCCATGGCATTAATGTTCTTAATGCTTTAGCAAAATTGGCGTTACATATTGTGGTGTGTTCAGGCGATATTGCATTCGTGTAGGTCCCGGTTTCAATGGACTCTTATCAGGTTGTCAATAAACGCACTTATCTAAATATATCGTATATCTATCCGGGATAGCCTCAATGCGTCTAGAGACCTTTTTTTCAGGAGAGTGGTGCTGCTACTTCCTCTGGAATGTTTAGTCCCATTCCATGAAGGGGTGTTTTGCCTTCATGTGGGAGGAAACTGGAGTAACCGGTAAAATAAAAATTCCACTTGGGATATCCCACAGAGGGAGATTTCAAGAAGAAATTTCTGTACCGCCACCTTTTGGCAGTGGCAAAACAAGAATTAGCTACAACTTTAAACGGAGCTGGTGGAGACGAGTTGACGCCCCGCCTGCAATTGTTTTGCTATCATTACAGTCATTATTACAACACGATTTTTTTGCAATAATTACCAACGTACGAGATTATCGGAGCAACAAAAATTTTTTTTCGACGCAATTGTTTTACACTAAAGCCCGTGGTGTCATTTTGTCTTGACGTGACATCGCTCTGCCAGAAGCTACGAGTGTGCTTCTACTTGCTGGGAGTTGAAGCGGCAATGTTGTCCACCCAGCGGCTATTAACAAGGTGAGCATAGCCACTTGGAAGTGATTATCGCATTCCGAGACATCTGCTTCGGAGAGACAGCTACAGAAACACGTTTTCTTCGACCAAATTTGTCCGTTTCAAACCCCTATCACGTTTGTCTGGTTTTACTTTCCTATGCTTTGGTCAGTCGTCTTCGATGTTAGCTTGTCCTTACCATATGTAGCAGGGTTCAGGAATGACGATAGCAGTTACGTAATGTGTGGCTTCTGCGGCACTGCCATTCAGAGCTGTTGTCAGCAAGCCAACCGGGCGTCAGACGCAGGCAGTTAAGAAAGCTAATAACGTTAATTCTAAAAAGAACACACGTTTGAAAGGTTGCTAATTAAAAATGTGGTTGAGTTTTCTACAGCCGCAGAGAAACTACGCTTGCCTGGCGATTACACTAACTCTATCAACTGTAAGAATGTGCCGCTTTTTTACAGTTATAAAATAAGGCAAGTTGCAATATTGGTCAGCTACCGCCACCTGGTGGAAGAATACGGACATAAAAAATACGGGGAAATGGGAATAATAAACACGTCAAGTAATCTAAAATTCCATTCAAATACATCTTCTGGCTCAGCTGTCGAAGCTCACCGCTGTTAATCTGGGTTCAAATCCAGTTTTTGGCCACTTAATATTAAACCCAAGTTCTCAAGTGCAGAAGGGTTGATGTATCTCAGCCTCATCGCTAACAACTTAACAAAAAGACATTGTTTTAATTTGCAGTTTGGAGAAATTCCATCTGAAAATTGAAAATACATTGTCAGTTTGACTATCATGATACAAAATCACAGCAGTGTACTGCATGGTATGTAAATGATTTTTAAAAAAAGTTTAAAGGACTTATGGAGAGGTCATGTGAAATACTGTATATATTTGACTGCACATGGTCTAAACTTGTCTGCAATATTTGCAAATGGATTATCAATCTTACGCATGATAGAATAACTTGCAGTAAGACAAACAAATGTGTTAAATAAAATGTTTCAATTAGTTGCTGGAAATGCCAACACTTTACCTTTACAATCAGACACCAGTAACACCACAGTAATAGTAAATCCACAATTATTTCAGTCATCCAAAGGTTTAATATGACATTCAGGTTACACAAGAGCATTAAATGAACACAAACAGATTACAATAATAACCAGAACGAAAGCTCATTCGCCAGTGAACTTACATGCTACGACAGCAACACAAACACAAAGACCACAGGATTAATATTTAATATCAGCAAGTTCACAGAATCTTCGTAAAAATGTGATTAAACAGCTAGCGCCTAAAACATCACACCCAAGATTCAAGTACAAGTTATTTCCACTGCGCAGACATATACGGATCGCTGGCGACAGCACTGCACAGCCTAAAGCTTAGCAACTGTACCCAC